TTGTAAAAAAATTCTTTGAATAAAAAACAGAATTTATAAAATAGAAAAAGATATTTAGGACACAAAGTCCTATCTCTTTTTCTGTATCCCCTGTTATCAATGAACAGGAATGAGTGTTCCTGTTCATTGATAACATGAGGACATGGTATGTTTACTATACCTACAACTATGAATGAACATGAGGTGATGCAGATCACTCCCATTCATTCATAATTGAGGATATAGTTAACATACCATGTCCTCAATTATCCACAAACACTCAGCGATCACTGATTGCTGAGTGTTTGTGCTCGCTCTCCTCTCTGACACGCTGTCACAGGAGGCTGATCGAGCGGAGCAGGGAGGTGAGCTCAGCCTCCTGTGACGGCGCTGGCTGTCTCCGCCCACACACCGCTCTGCCGGACTGTGATAGGCGGCTGAGCGGTGTGGGAGGAGAGACGCCGGCCGCTCAGAGCGCTCTTGTCCTTCAGCGCTCGGCCGGCTGTCACTGTCTTTTCTCCCCGCTGCAACACAGAGCAGCGCCAGCGGGGAGGAAAGAAACCAGGGATGCGCCGATGTATCGGCTGAAACCATGGCTCTTTTGGCATTATGCCAAAAGTGCCATTTTCGGCCGATATATCGGTGCATCCCTAATATAGATCTATCTATATATAGATAGATATGTGCCGATTCCGAGTATTTGGGTATATTGCCCAAATGCTTCGGTACCTCCCCTGATACCCGAACTTCCGATCAGAGGGAGATTTCCTCTGCAGACTTGGAGCCAGATTCCGGGCCAGTCATGAAGCCAGGCGGTGGGTAATGACCCGGCTTTCTGATTTTGGCCAGAATGTAGGCTCGATGCTGATTGGCTAGGAAGCCGACTTCTTATCTTAGCCAATCAACATTAAGCCTGCCCAACAGTAGAGCTGCAGCTAACGATTATTTTCAAAATCGATTAGTTAGCCGATTATTAAGTTCGATTAATCGGTTAATCGGATAGAAAATAAAATACATTTTTAAAAATGAGCAACCAATCGGCAGACGATTAATCGATGATTGAAATAGTTGACAACTTTTTCAATAATCGATTATAATCGATTATGTCGATTAGTTGTTGCAGCCCTACCCAACAGCATGGTGCCTGCTTACCTGGCAGTCAAAAAGCCCAGGTGGCAGGTAATGACACGCCGCCTGGCGAACCTGATTGCGCGGGAAGATGGCTCCATGCTAGCGGAAGATGAATATCGGTACTCGATACCGGTACCCCGTAATGACAAAAAACAAAATTTTAGAAATGTCTGTGAATTTATTAAACAGAAAAAAACTGTTATCTCACATGTACTTAAGTATTCAGACCCTTTATTCAGTACTTTGTTGAAGGACCTTTGGCAGCAATTGAGTCTTTGGGTATGATGTGACAAGCTTTGCACAGCTGGATTGGGGAATTTTCAGCCATTCTTCTTTGCAAATCCTTTCAAGCTCAGTCAGGTTGGATGGGGCTCATCGGTGGACAGCCATTTTCAGGTCTCTCCAGAGATGTTCAATAGGGTTTAAGTCAGGGCTCTGGCTGGGCCACTCTAGGACATTCACAAAGTTGTCCCTAAGCCACGCCTGTGTTGTCTTGGCTGTGTGCTTAGGATCATTGTCCTGTTGGAAGGTGAACCTTTGGCCTAGTCTGAGGTCCCGAGCGCTGTGGAACAAGTTTTCATTGAGGATTTCTCTGTACTTTGCTTAATTTAGCTTTCCCCTCAACCCTCACCAGTCTCTCAGTCCCTGCTGCTGAAAAACACCCACACAGCATGATGCTGCCACCACCATGTTTCACTGTTGGAATGGTATTGGGCCGGTGATGAGCTGTGCCTGGTTTCCTTTAGACATAACATTTAGAATTGAGGCCAAACAGTTCAATCATTGTTTCATCAGACCAGAGAATCTTGTTCCTCACAGTTTGAGAGTCCTTCAGGTACTTTTTTGCAAAGTAAGCAGGCTTTCATGTGTTTTGCAGTGAGGAGAGGCTTCTGTCTAGCCACTCTGCCATAAAGGCCAGATCAGTGGAGGGCTGCAGTGATAGTTGTCCTTCTAATACTTTGTCCCATTTCCTCACAGGATCTCTGGAGCTCAGTCAGCGTGACCATCGTGTTCTTGGTCACCTCTTACTAAGGCCCTTCTCCCCCAAATGCTCAGTTTGGCCGGGCGACCGGCTCTTGGAAGAGTCTTGGTTGTGCCAAATGTCTTCCATTTGAGAATTATGGAAGCCACTGTGCTCTTAGGAACCTTCAGTGTAGCAAAAGGCTTTTTTGGGGGGGTTTTTTGTAGCCTTCCCCAGATCTGTGCCTTGCAATTGTCTCTGAGCTCTGCTGGCCGTACCTTATTGACCTAATGGCTTTTGCTCTGATAAAGTATGCATTGTCAGTTGTTAGGCCTTCTATAGAGAGGAGCTATTCCAAATCATGTTCAATCAATTTCACTTACCACAGGTGGACTCCAAGGTGTAGAAAAATCTCAGCAAATTTCAAGTGTTGTTGCAAAGGGTTTGAATACTTATGCCAATGTGATATTTCCGTTTTTCCTTTTTCATACATTTGCAAACATTTCTAACATTCTGTTTTCACTGTGTTTATTATGGGATACTGGGTGTAGATTGATGAGAAACAAATACATTTTAAACAACTGTAGTATCAGGCTGCAACATAACAAAATTGAATGTCAAATCCCAGGAAAGACAGCTTTTGTTTCTCCCCAGTCTAGTCTTGGGGCTGGAAAAGTATCTGTACTTGTACCAAATATAGTACTTGGTATCTGAACATCTCTAAGAACTGAAAATAGATTTATTTATTTTTGTTGTCCATTGAGGCACACTGGCGAAGTAGTAATCATAGAGTTATACATCGGTCTTCAAGAGATGGACACTGGCAAACAAAATTTTTGAAGTCCAACCCCCCTATAACTCCACTCACAGTGATGTTGCCCCAGTTTGTTTTGCTAGTGTCTTAGGTCACTGGACACTATTTCCTCAGCTCTGCTTAGGTAAATGTTTTTTTAGCCATCAACATTCAATTTTTTTATCCACGGATGAATTGTTTTCTTCAATCAAGATACGTGTACATTGCTTGAGCTTTTTCCTCCACAGCATTTGATATGGTTAGTCCTTGGCAATACCTCAGAGGATTATACCCAAACCCAGCTGGACTCAAAGTGTAGGGCCTACCTATAATATGTCCTATGGCACTGGTCTCTCGTTTTTACGTTCCCTGGACACTCCTTAGACACCTGAGCCTAATGTATAAGTGGGCGTATGCTATCCGCACGACATTCCCACCACTTGATGGATAATAGGAAATTCCTTTGTTCTTTGGATCTAGTGGCGGGAATGTCATAGGAACAGCATTTGCCCATATATGCTGGGCAGAATGTTTATACATCAGCCCTTAAGTGTACTGGTTTATTAGCTGCAGAGGATATTTAAAAGTCCACAGCCATGTCACAGTCTTTGGTGTGTACCAGTTTCTGAAGACTCACTCTGTAAGTAAGCCCATGGATGGGGCAAAGATGTACTGGATTGTGACCTTCAGGCATTGCGCCCTTTGGAATGTTATTAATTATTCAGTTTATGTTTGCACATATTGCGGTATATTTTCCAGTTCAGAGCTCATTAGTGTGACCCTGTCTCCCTACAGTTTTTGAATGGGTATTGTCACAACAAGTCATATTTTTTTTGTGGTGATGGTCAACCTACTAGTGTTGACATCATTCACTTGAGATGGCATAAAGCGCCCGTTAGCTTTTCTTTTTTTTCTTGCAGCCTCTGGCTTACTAGTACTGCTGTCATTACCAATACACATTCTTCCAGCCACCTGCCTCACTCACTGACACCTGCTGCCTTGGTTTGTAATTATGCTGGGCCCTTTTCCCCTTTTGATGACAATATTTTCAGTATCAGGTATATCATGTCTTCTCATTATATTTCTGAGGATGTTCTTGCTTCTGTAGGTGACCTCGCTTCCTGTTCTCCGCTTCTTTTGAGCATGCCTCTCACTTGTCCCTACAGCAACGTAATCCTGGAATTTTTCTGAACCTCTACATCAGTGGTTCTCACCCTGTGTAACTTCGAGGCCCACATTTGTCCTTGGTCATTAAGGCGTGACCCAAATATTATTTCATTTCTGAAATATTCAAATTTATTTCACAACTTGTGCAGTATTCAGCAACGTATATATGCACATTTTAAACCATAAACGGTGAAATGTAAGTGCAGTTGAGGGAAAAACCAATCAAAAAAAGTAATTGAAGCATGAAATTAATGGGAAAACTGGGTATGCTTTTTGCTCTTGAGAAGTGTCTCAAAGTCTGGGGTGACGGTAGACAAAGCAACTCTAAGGTCATGTTCAATGTCCATTCTGTTCTTATATTTTGTCTTCAGCTGAACCAGAACTGAGAAGCCACTCTCACACGGACCCGCACCTTATACAACCGATCCCCCTCTATAGCCGGCGGATCGCTTGTATGTAGACAGGCATCGCTGCCTTTTTTTTAAATTTAGGCAGGTTCCTGCTCGCGTGGGTGGGTGTGGCTGTTTGGACGTTTAAATACGCCCGCTCAGATCTAGGAAGCTCTCGGCCGGCCTCATTTCTACGCCGGCCAGGAGGCGGTTAATGGAATAACCTGCTCTGAGTGGTTCTGAATTTTCCCTTTACCTCCTTGGTAGCCAGTTTTTCTGACCCTACACCTAAGAGTGTGCTTGAGCCCCTGTTATCTTGGACTCATAGCCACCACTTCCTACTCCTATTGGATCTATGTTTAACAAGGTAATTGAGGATCCAGACATAATTGGGTCCAGTTGGATTGGCTCGGTTTGACTTGACCAGTTCTTCCCCTCACAGAATTTCTTTGTCCACAGATCTTATAGCCACAAATCCTTTCTCAGGTTCACTTATGTTTCTATTTACACGCACCTCCTCTCCCATTTGTAAAAAAAAAAAATGCCTGGATTTTCATTCCTGGTCCTAGTGCATTTTTTCCTATTACTTGACCGATCCACTTTTTCACTGGGTTGACTGTGCTTCATCCCAAACTATTTGGACTCTCCTAGTTATGGGTCCTCATGCCCCCCCCC